TTACATGCGGGAATTCAATTAATGTAGTTCTAATAAACAAACAAACTACGGAATAAAATTAAGACATGATATTTAATTATATATAAGTATATTGAGATTCATTCAGTTTCAGTTATTCAGTCTACTATTCCTTTACAATTGTAATTATAAATTAAATAGGTAGTTATTATATTCAATTTAATTATAATTATTTCATACACATAAATTTTCTTAATTTATTGAATAAATGAAATTAATAATTTCCACAAAATATAATTAAAATATATATCAGTCCTTTAAAACTTTTTATTACACAAGAACACTTAAACAATTCACTTTAATATTCACTTTACAATTCACTTTTCACATATCCATTTTAATGCAAAAAAAATTCTGCTTACGAAAAAATTCACTTCACAAAAAATATTAACTTCAAAATAATATTGACACACACGGTTTTAGACTCTTTGTGACGAATGCTAAAGAGCAACTGACGCTCGAAAGACCTTCGGAAAAAGATTTTACAGAAAATATTTAAAGTTCCTGAACATTTGCCCTGTATATTTCTATCTGAAAAATTTCTAAGTTTTTGTCTAAGTAAATCTATAAGAAAAAAGAGAAGTAGAAAAGCTATAAAATAGTCCCCCTCTTACAATGAGGAACCCTTAAGATGGTCAACTACGACTAACCAGATGTGACAAACTCTTGAAAATAAGAAAATTCTTTTAACATTTTATATATTTTGCCTTTAGAGAAGAAATATTTACCATTTACAATAAAATTAACAAATGTAATTTTTTATTTGTTTACAATATAATTGTTATTATTTAGGATTATGGGTATAAAATAGAATAAGAAACAATATTATATTTTAACTTCTGCTTTTATTAAATACGCACTTGGAAAATGCATGTAATCTTTACTCTTTGCCTGATCAATTAAGACTAAAATGGAAATCACAGAACCAGAGAAAACTGACTCACATAAGCCTAATACTTCTGCAATAGTCTTTGTTCAAAAATGGTTTACAAAATTTGATAGCCGTCCGCCGTCCTGTCGTCTCAATATATAAACAGTTTAAAAGAAAAACTTATACGATCTTATATTACATTTCTAAGAAAGAATGATTTTTGATAAATAATTATTTTATAAAAACTAACAGTTATTTTTAAATAAATTGAAATTTTTAGAATAAAACTGCTGATCTAGTTATAAAAATATTTCTAACTTTTTGACAGTCAAAATTTTGAAATAAAATTTAGGATAAAAATATCTTTCATTAACAGACAAATAGCTTTTTTTATTTTATTTTCAATCATTATTTTCATTTAAAAGTCTTTGTATATCCTATATAAATATTACATCTGTAGACCTACATAGAAAGGCCTGCTCATAACTTATCTCGATATTACGTCGACTGTCCTGTATATTTCCTACATATGAATGCAGATGAAGATCCTGCCTAGATTTAAAAATTAAATGCCTACATAGAAAAGCCTATTCAAAACTTACCTCGACATTACGTTAGATGACTTATATCTTTCTTATGTACAAATTCTAATGTAGATCCTACATAAATTTCATGTATATGGGCCTACATAGAAAGACCTACTAAAAACTTACCTCAATACTACGTTGAGTGGCCTATATCTTTCCTATTTACAAATTCTAATGTAGATCCTACATAAATTTCATGTATATGGACCTACATAGAAATACCTACCAATAACTTACCTCAATACTACGTTGGGTAGCCTATATCTTTCCTATGTACAAATACTAATGTAGATCCTACATAAATTTCATGTATATGGGCCTACATAGAAAGTCCTACCAAAAACTTACGTCAATACTACGTTGGGTGGCCTATATCTGTCAGACATAAGAATACCGATGTAGATCCTACATAAATACAACAATTATAGGCCTACATAGAAAGACCTACCCAAATATCACCTCAATACTACGTTGGGCGACCTATATCTGTTAGACATAGAAATGTCGATGTAGATCCTACCTAGATTCAGAAACTGCAGGCCTACATAGATATGTCTGCACAAAACCTATGTCGACACTACATTGTGAGGCCTACATCAATTGACTATAGAAAGGCCTACGTATATCCTACATAGATACTACATCTTATAGGCCTTCATAGGAAAATCTACGTACACTCTACATAGAATGTACATAACTTGGCCTACATAGAAGGCCGATTTTAATCCTACACAAAAACTACGTAGTAAATACATAGGCCGTACTATTTTTTTACTCGGGGTGTTGTATTCGTGTTATTCATTCGCAGAATTAACCGAGTGGACACGAATGTGTACGAACCGTAATTTACAGTTCTGTAAAAAATTGCATCGACTTTGACATCCCCAGGCATCCTATATTTGCGAAATTTTTAGTTGTTTCAATTAATAGTTTCGGTATTCTAAAGAAACTTACATTTGTTCCAAGTAAAGATTTTTTTTACATGCAGTATAATATAAATAAATAAAGTCACATTCCTAAATACAGAGATAGAAAAAAAAATGTTATCATAAAATAGAAAAACGAAAAATAGTTTATTACAGAAACTCTTTTACATTCTTGAAAGGCCTATTCATCAGTCTCATTACAAGTTTTTAGTGTGCGAGTAATATTGAAATATTTTTAACTATCCTTTACAGTCTGCAATTCATTGAGAGCTATTTTACGATATGGTTTTCTCATGTCTTCTAATAATCCCAAGAAGACATCACTTTGAAAATTTGTGGTTGAGATTGTGCGATAATCGTAATGTTTACGGTTTGTGTATATATATAGATATGTGTTTGTGTGTATATACATATATATATATATATATATATATATATATATATATATATATATATATATATATATATATATATTTGTGTGTTCATGTTTGAACATTATGTAATAACTATTTCATTATACGCTTATAGAAAAGTCTTATTCGACGCGATAACAATCTATAAATTATTACCACCCGATCGTCATGGTTACTTGTGGACAAAAAGTAGATTAACTGATATAGTTAAGTTCGCTTTATATATACATGTCAAACGATCTCTCACACAGTGCTTTATGTCTTTCTCTCTCCCTTATGGTAAAATTTCTCTTATTTATTCCCGATATACATATATACTAAACAAATTAGATTGCTCTAAATAGTTTAACTGGTTACAAAATAACGAGTAATATTGTTGCTGTTTTATATGGAGAGTTGAAAAATTTGGAATATTTTAACTATACTGTTATATAGATATCTATTTTGCAGATTAGTGACTGACTATATGGGGAAAAAGAAGGAAAAAAAATGTGATTGCGATAAGTTGGTATGGCGGCGCCTCTGTGATAGTGATTGTCCTTTTTTTGTGTTTATTTTCCCTTGGTATCATATAAGCTATTACTAACATTACGACACGGTAATCAGGATTGATCTTGTTGCATTGTTAAAGTATGGGGCTTATATACAACCCGGGGCATTTTCAGTCTTTATACACCCAACTCTGCTTGCTACTGATATGGTTATTCGAGCGGCGCCGATAGTTGTTGGAATCATTGCCTCTCTACTGTAATTAGTCATATTTTTTTTTTCCTCTGTGGTCAAACGCTGTAGTGAAGGAGAGTATTCTAACAATTTTCGCTCCATTGATTCTGGAAAAAAATTTAGTTTACGGTTTTTTTTTTTTTGATTTCATTTCGCTATGGTGGTAGTGCTTTCAATGTATTAGGGCGTAATTTATTTCATTGTCAATAGTTTTGAAATTGACCTTCCGTTGACTCACTGGGTCATTTTGACCCGGATTAAGAACTAAGTTTAAATTATTAGTTTTATTTTGAAAGAATCGACTTAAGTGTTATTAAGAAGCATGATGATAAAGTTCGGGTCAAATTGACGGCGTGACAAAAAAGTCTGTCAACGGAGGGTTAAGAATTAGAAAATAAATAGCGTTTAGAATTTGGATAGTTTTCATTTGGGTGATTAACCTATTCTCCTTCTTAAAATAAAGAATTTAAACTATCGATTATTATTATAGCGAAAATAGTGAAATTCTATAATGAATTTAAAACTCTTATCTAAATTATTGAAATGGGTAATTGATTATTGGAAAATTACTGTGATATTAATTTTTTATGTAATATTTAAACGTGTTCCTTAAAAGCTTTTGGAAATAACCGATCGGACATTGGAATTGAAAGTAGTCTTATTAAAAATTAAGTGCATTTATAAACGGATTATAATTTAGAGGAATTTTTATGGTTTGTGCTTATTGAATTCTTTAAGGGATTAGAATAGTGACGTAAAAGAAATAGAAAAATAGCGGTTCATAATGCCTGGGGTTTTGGGATATTTTTTGTTTTTTTTACTATAATTTGTTTTAACACTTGATAGAATTCAACTAGACCTGTTTTTTGTTGTTGCATAATTTGTTACTGATTTCTTAACATACTCACACAGCATTCGACATTCGTTTAAAGACAGTCAAGGCTTGGCCTCGCAGTGTACACGCTGGTCCTGACCTCCTTACGATAGACTGTCATTAGGCACACTTTATATTGTGATTGTTCCTCACATTAATTTACAAACAACAGATTTCTAAATGACGGTTTAAATATGGTTAGATAAAAATGGGCAAAAAAAAATTTGAATTGTAAAAGCAGTGTCATTTAAATTGTGCAAGAATGGGAATATAAATGTGTAAAAACAGTAAAACAGTCTACTACAAATATATAGAAATAAGTAATAAATATACTGGTAATTTTTCGGACTTTTCATCCGAAAAGTTGCGTAATTTTTGATGTGTTTTTAATTTATTTTAACGGTAAATTAATTTACAATATGTAAATAAGTAGTTGAATCTTATATATACGATCAGAAAGAATGTCAAGCACAGTGTTTTTTTACGTTTATCATCAATTAAGATTACCGTTAGGGTTTTTAAATTTTACTTGATTAATTACACGAGACATTCCAATTAATAATGAAACATTGTTATTATCTGTTGCAGATATATACCCGAATGAACGGGCCAGTATTCATGCCAGTATGCCAATCAGATGCCAGTAGTTGAGCCAGTATCTGTCGTCAACAATATAAAGCCAGTTTCAAATAAAATTAATTTGGGGGATTCTATTTTGTTTCTTTAAGTTTATATAGATAGTGCTTTTTTGTAAAGTAATTAAAGTTTTCTTAATTATTATCGAGTGACTGTTAGTAAATTTAAAGTCAAGATATAATTAATTTTCTTTGAGTTTAATTAATAGTTTGGTAATTTTATATTTTTCTAAAGGGGACAGTGGACAAGAGAAGTGTAGTTTTTTCTGTTTTTTTGAAATTGTGAATTTGCAAATTCCTTCTTTTCTGGGATAAAGTTTAATGACAAGTACAAGATTTTGAGTTTTTTGTTTTGATAAGTGTATATGTGCTGGAAATAAAAAAAGTGCATATCTTCTGAATCGGCGGAAGGAAATAGACTCAGATTGAAACGGAGCGGTGGCTGGAAACGCTGACTTACTTCAGGAGCGCCAACCTGCAATCAAGGTTCATGGTTTTCATGGTGAGTTGCTCTATATGCAACTTTTGATTAATTTATTTATTATCGTGTACCAATTACTTTGGTATAATAATTGGATAATTTTTTGATATTTTCGGTAATATTTGGTATAATAATTCGATAATTTTGCGGAACATTTATTAAAAATTAATTAACTGATTCAATTTTTTATAGTAATAAATTTAATAATTTATTCAAAATTATTTAACTTATTAAATTTATAATTATAATAAATTAAAAAAATTACTATTTATTACAATCTTTTTTTAAATTAACAATTTTTTTTGACAATTGAATTGAATTATTATTTTAAATTACAAAAGGGTTTTTGTGGTCTAGTTTTTGCTTCTTGTGTGAATTTTTTTAAACATTGTTAAGTAGTAGTTGTATATATATTTTCTTTAATCTTGAAATGCTACAGAAAAGTATAAGTTAAACGAACTTGAAAACCGGATTAGCACACTTAAATGAATATTTATGAAGGTAATATTGCGTGTAAATTTATAAGTAAATGAACTCGTAATTTGTTTCATATCGTATATCCGCGACATTAAGAAAATCTGTAGCCAATTCGATTTAGTTTTTATTAATATAGCTTTTAAATTAATTGTGGCGCCACATTTCCTTACGAAAAGAATTTATCTCAATTTTTTCGTGAGCTAATAATATTATTTAACATACTTTACCTGATACCAAATCAACTGGCTGTAAATTTTTTAGTACTTTTTATTTATATTAAATTTTACTTTTTCCTTCATTTGTTCTTTATGAATTTTTTTACTTTTTTCTATTTTTGTTCCATTTTTATTATTTGTTTATCTTTATTTCAGTGTCTTGATTTATATATTTTTTATTTTATTATTTTATAGTTTCCTTTATTTATTTTCATTTTATTAGTTTAGTTTTTATTTGTTTATTTTCTGTTTGTTATTTTTAGCGTTCACTTTTTCTATATTTTGGGTTTTATTTTCATTTATTGTAATTTTTTTCAATTTTCAAAGTTGTTTTATTTTATTGAAAATAATTTCTACCTGGAAAGTTATTTTTCATTTACTGACGTACGAAACAGAATATTGTTAACATATTTATAACTGTCGTTTTTTGACTCTTGAAGACTTGAAGAAGCACTTTCTTTTCTTTCTTTTTTTTTTTTTTTGAATCGAATAAAAACACGTTGATTAGAGTCTTTTAAGTTTGGGAATCTTCTTGAGTTGTGTGTGCCAGATTCCCGGTGGGTGGTTCCAAAAATCCAATGAGTCTTTTAAGAGTTGATGGGTCGAGAGGTCAGTCAGCTGAGGACATTAATAATCTTTCATATAATCTTTAGGCGGGTGTGGCGAGTAAGTTAAACTCTCTTCCAGCTCATATTGCAACCACAACGGTCAAAGATATATTTACATGTGTTAAAAAAGAAAAAAGAAGAAAAATCGTCTCTTATATAGAATATCATCGTGTATACAAAACCAGTCGCATACAGTTCGTCGTGCGCAAAAAAAAAGAAAAGAAAAAAAAGAAGTACGCAGAAGAAAACAAAATAAGCGCGCGCATATCTTTTGCGGTAGACATTCGACGAGAGTCTTATTCTTTTATCAGATTCAGATATCTTTTCACTTTAACGTGTGTTGGCCCCTTTGACGAAATTATCTTTTTTTACACAAGATTCTTATCAACATTGAGCGGTAAATTAATTTTTCTGAGGTATATATACTACTACTACTTACAATGTGACCTAAAGAAAATATATGCCTTGCAATGAAGCACGAACATATCTTGATATAAAAGTCCGTACGGTAGTTAATTATATGTATAAAAAAGTTTTTGATAAATTGATAACTAACTTGATTATTGAGATGAGAGTCGTGTATGATTATCCAATTGATGTCGTGGGCTTTCTTTTTCCTGTTGAAACATCGGAGGAGGTTAAAAGGTTGAGGATTAGTTTATTGAATGTAGATATGGATTGATTTTATGGTTGACAAATATTTATAGATGAGGACGCTAATTTTTATATGAGAACGATAGTTTAGGATGATAGTTTATATGAAGATGATAGTTTTTATGAAGATGATAGTTTATATGAAGATAGTTTATATAAATGTTGCTAGTTTATTTAAATTTATATAAGAAAGGTTTGTTTGATTTATAATTACTGTGAATAATTGCGTTTAATTTGTTACATATGGTAAAGTTGGTTGATGCACTTGCATCACCACCTGCAGAGTCAAATCAGCATATATTTAACATCCGGCTGAATTTAATATTGTAATACGCGGGTAGTGTTAGTGTATATGAATCTGCATTTCGCTGGCAAACTATATTCGTAGATTCATTAATTTTCCTCGTAATACAAGAATTGGATTTGGTTGGTTTCAACTTCTGCAAAATTGGTACTGGCGAAAGCTTCTTGTTATCCTGATGTTCATTTAATTTCATCTGTAAATTTTTGCTGAATTAGAAATTTTGCCCGATTACATGTAAAGTCTTCAAAAATCTATTCAATAATAGCTGTCTTAAAATTGTTGCAAATTAATTTCGAGATTTCCTTTCTGCCTTAAAATAAGACTTTCTTTTTACTGAGCACACTGAAGCTTTTTCTTCGTTCAAGTTTATAATGAATAATGTATTTCAACTCAACACCTTATTTCTTTTTCACGACATGGTTTACAAAACAGTAGCGTGCAAAGTTGTGTATTAAAAAAAACAAATTCGAGCAAAATGATAAATTTGTTGATATATGGTATAACATTTTGAGGTTCCTGGTTGATTTATTAAAGAGCGCGACGATGAGTATACTCTCGAGATCTTGAAACTCACGCACCATATCTTCTTATTAAATTGAGTAGAGCGCAGCATCTCACATTTATGATTGGAAATCAGCCAGGTTTCACTTTGGCAAATTTATTATATTGATTATATCGATGTCACTTCCATAAATGGATGTTCTTTGATGTTTAAAAATATTTGTGACATACATTTTTCGTTGGTAATTGGTAATTTCGATGTTGAAGATTCTAATATTTTTAAATTTTGATACTTTTTTTTTAATGAATTCTTTGAAAAAAGAGTTTAAAGTTAATTTTGTAAAGAATATTTGAAATATTGGGATTATAAGTGTTTTACTTATTTATGTTTTTTGCTTCTTTAAAATATTCTCATCTATTTATGGATGTTTTGATTTCGATTTTGGAATATATAGAATTTTTACTTTTTTTTTGTTTAAAATATATTTTTATCCCTGGTAATATTTTTGTTGTCTCATTATTCATTTATTAGCAACACGAGTAGAATTGTAAATTGTGTTTGTGTATAGAAGAGAGGAAAATTCCGGTTTTCTTTATTGCTAGTTATTCTCTAGTTTTAAGTATTTCTCATTTTTCAAAAAAAAAAAGATGAACGTCCATACTTTTGATGTGCCATTAGATATGCTTCATGTGGGATATGGTGTATGATCAAATCGTCGATTGAAGAGGGTAATAAAACTTGGTGTCTCTGCAATCGGAGCTTCCTTTTGTCACGCCCATCATTATTCATTAGAGATTTTTTTTCTCTCTTTGTTTTTTTTCCTTCTTCTTTTTAAAGGCGAATGGAAAAAAACCAAATGGACAATGAAAAAGACGAATGAAATGGATGTGAATAATACTCGGTGGTCACGTTAGGAGTTTATTCGTGTGGTTTTACGAGCGATAGATTAAATACGGTAAATCATTGATTCCTTTTGCTACTAGAAATGTGTCTTGTGTGCGGATATATCGTTTTGCGGTGTTTGGGAATCGATATCCTTTAAGTTGTAATGGAGGAGGGGAATTTGTTTGGAAGAGACACCTACAATTTTCTTTTTATTATGTGCAATAAAGTCTTGTAACAAGAAGTATTATACGCTCAGAAGAAAATTTATTTGAAACGACCAAATTTTGTTTGAATCAAGTAAATGCTAAAATTTATTAAATTAAACCAAATCAAATAAATATTTAGTTGGGTTAAAGAAACTCTTTTTTTACATGTACCTAAAAATTTTATTTTATTTTACCTAATAATAAGGTATAAATTTTACTTATTTTAAATAAAATAGAACATTTGATTGAAATATAATTTTTTTGAGTTTAGTAGTTTTTGGTTTAATTGTTCTGTGATGGATTTTCGTTGCACCAAAATAAATTAATGTCACTTGGGATGTGAAAATATATATATATATATGGTTGTCGTATGGATTGTATTTCTTTAGACTGTGGAGCGCGCGATTTGCACACGCGGCCACATTTACAGGTTCTCGTTTCTCTGACGTATACACTCTATATGTGCAACCAAGTGGGCGGCAAAACAGACACACGTGCATCACGGTCTCTCGCGACGTACGCGCAAAAACTGATTAGAATGCAGCTCTGAGAATATCGTTCAATGACAAGAAAATTCTCTTTGCTAGCGTCTGCAGAAAATATATGTGTTTGTGTTGTATTCGGATTTGTTTGGTCTTGTTTCTTTTCATTTGTATAGTCATCAAATTTATTTAGTGGATTTTTTTATGTACAAAGTTTAATTCTTATTTTTATTACGGTGAATGTTAATTTTACTAACTAGTAAATTTTACTAATTGTAAAAATTTACTTCGGGAATAGTAAAATTTAGTCCTTAAATAATAAAAATTGATAGTAAGGCGCATAAATTTTAGACAGCTTAGGTTACCGTGTGTAAGTATAGTAACAGTTACTATACTTTTTTTACTGTTTCCTAAATAAATTTTGCTTCACGTCTGTAGTACATTTTACTCATTTTTACTAAAATTAATGTTTTGTATATAGTAAACAGTAAAAAGTACCTACATAGAAAATAATAAAATTGATTATGGAAATAGTAAAATTGATTAGGTATATAGTTAAAATTGTCTGAAGAAATGAGCAGAAATTCCTGACAGTGCAGATTTTACTATAAAAGTATAGTAAAAGTTACTTTTTTCCCTGTTTGTTAACACTGTGATAGTCATGAGAATTTATTTGTTAATTTAATTC